TCATTAAAAGGGGTGCCACATTACCATAGTATCCCCAAATTAAATACTACTCACCTGCAGTTATCTTCAATCATCTGCACCCGCATGTGGACTTTGCCCGCTGCCTCAGCTTCTCGGAAGCCAGCGAAGGCCGGTGAAGAACCGCGCGAGCGCCTCTTGGAGAATGGACTGGAGAAGCAGCAACCTTCCACTCTATCTGGGCAAAGCTCCTGAAGCTATATGAGCTGTAATCTAAACTCCTAGTATCCCCCTTAATACCCCTATAATACTCCCCTATATAATCTCCTATATAACCCCCCTTATGGAGTCTAGATTAGGGTTCATATCACCCAACCAGGCGCCAGGCGAACTGAATTCTACACAATCTAAAATTCGACGAGAGGCAAGCGCTGGTGAAGCTGGCAGCTTTCCTGCGGTCATTACTTCCTGCCTTTCTACGTCCCCAAGGCTCACACATACACATTTTAGCCGGCAAGATGGCGAGATGCACGGCTGAATTGCCAGGGTGTAACCCGGTTTTCAAAATCCAACATGATAGTCCCAAAATGTAGCCTTTTTTTGCTGAAATAGTGTTTGGTAGGGTCTAAAGAGGCTTTCGGAGGTGCATACAGGGGTTGACCGAATCCAGCTTTGATTATGGCTGCTCCGGGCTGGAGGGCCAGTGTTTGGGCTTTAATTGCGGGGGGGGGGTGGGGGCTTAGGGTTTAGGACTTAGGGTTAGGATTCAGTGTGCAGGGTTTTAGGGTGTAGGCCTTTAAAGTTTAAGGTTTAGGCTGTGGGGCCGAGTCACTGTTGCGGACTGCAGTCCGACAGCCTGTGCCCTGAGAGATTCACGAAAAATGGTCCCGTTGAAGAAAGAACCATTTAAGCATTGTCTCTTGTGTCTAGACAATATATACCCTAATATATACCCTATTATAATATAGTAGCTTCCATGTTCTTTTCCATTATCCCTATATATAACCCCCTCATGGCCTTGGCCTAGGGAGGAGTTCCAGCCGCTAACAGCCAAGCGTAAACCTGAAACCCTACACCGTGCCTAAACCCTAAACCCTACAACCAAAGTGGAGTGGTCGCAGGCCCATTTCAAACTCTTTGTTCCTGACCCTCCAGGGTCATCACAGACCTAGCGCTAGGGTTTGGAACTAGAGAGTTTGAGGGTTTGGGGGGCCTACGCCTCAGGGCTTAAGGCTAAGACCAGAGTTACCGGTTGAGAGACCACTGCCCGCAGTCTGCCTGCTTGAAGAACAAACAGCGCTCGCTCAAATAGTCTTAGGCAACTTTCACTGTCGAGTATTTCTAGCCTTGCTGAAACCGCGGATGTAGGGTGAAATGAGGAATGTTGGGGTTTAAGTAGGGGGCATTTCAGCCCCGGCTAAAATGCAATTCTTCAGTGTAGCACCCCCAAAAAAGCCAACTGCCAAGAACAGAATTAAGTATATAACACCAATATAACCCTATTATGTCATGGTAGTTTCCATTTTCTTTTTCATTATCCCAATATAACCCCGATATAGGGTTCTGCTTTCCATGCCAACACTTCACAGTTCTTCACAGCTGGATGCCTTGATTGAAACAGTTCGAAACATTATCTTACCACAAAGAGGCGGTAATTAGCAGAAACCCTAAACCCTAAACCCTAAGGTGGCTTTTTCATTTTCTTTTCCATTATCCCAATATAACCCCTATATCTACCCTATTTTGCCTAGCCTTGCTCTGACACACCAGGGGCCTCGAAGAGCTCGCCTCCTCGACCTGCCTCGAGCGCGGACGTCAATGTCTCAAACCTGACAGCAAGGCCACGACACCAAACCCCACCACGGTAAACTCCTTCATTGCCGAGGATCTCTGACATAAACTCTGGCGAACGCTTGTCAGCAGGAGTAGCCTGCGACACACAAACTTTTGAAAGGGTGCTTGTCAAAATTATGGTCCCTTTTTGGATCCCTATTCTAGTACCACACCTACTATTTAGGGTACCCAAAAAGGGATCATCATGTTGACAGCCACCCATATAACCCCAGTATATACCCTATTACAAGATAGTAGCTTCCATTTTCTTATCCATTGTCCCTAGATAAGCCCCATATAACCCTAATAATTTTGACAACCACCCATATGCAGCATCATGCCATTGGGAATCGCGGCCTTGGTTGGCTCTTCAACTGCCTTGGAAGCTTCCAGGCGGTAATTGAGATCCTTGGCAGATGATTTGTGGCAGGATAGCCTCATCTACATGGTCCCTCTTTGGATCCCTACTATACTACGGCACCTAATATCTAGGGTACCCAAAAAGGGACCATCATTTTGACAACCACCCACACGAAGAGCATAAGACCGCCTAGTATGGCATGCTCGGTTCAATACAGGACTACCGAAGCACGACGTACTTGCATCATCTTGCATCCAGCGGCGCCCAGGACGATGAGCAGAGACTGTGGGCCAGCCTCAAAGCGTTCGCCTATCTGGGCCTGAGTGCAACAAATACTTATAAATTGGGGATATATTGGGGTTATATTGGGGCTATCTTGGGGTTATGTAATTCGGTTCTTGGCGCATTGAACCAACAGGATGATATCGGAGCATGCATGTTGCAGCCTTTCCTGTGCTGAGAACTGTGCAAAGGTCGCGTCTCGAACCTGACATTGGCTGTTCCAATCGATGGTCAGGCGATGGTGTAGCCTATATACACCCTATGTAACCCCCATATAATCCCCATAGAATATAGTAGTTTCCGTGTCCTTTTCCATGATCCCCATTTAACCCCAAGTAGAAGCTCTGAGACTGCACATTTCAGAGGCCTCGCTCTTGCCGTGCCCGGCCTTGCAGCGGAGAGTTTCAAATCAGCTTCAAAACTTGCACCTTTGTTCATGATGATTCTGCTTTGGGGTTTAGGGTTTAGGGTTTAGGGTCTGTACAACCGCATGTCGATTGGTATGCTGTTGGCCGCCTATGTTTTAGGTAATTTCCCTTTTTGGTAAAGGGTGCGGGGGTGGGGGACCGCCCCCACAAAATGGATCCAAACCCATTTACGTATTGAAAAGTGTATGTCAGGGGGTTTGGGGCCACTATCTCAGCAGATCGCTGCGCTACCACGTGATGTAGGGTGCTAGCAAGTTTTAGCCTTCAGCTTCGTTTGGCATCCAGAAACATGCCTTCCCAGACCTATTTCTGTGCCCCCGGTGTTCCTAGGCCCGGATGGGAGAGACCGACAGTGACCCAGCCTCCGACGGACCTATCATCAAAAGTTCCTGGGCTGTACCCCTCAGGTCGTACCCCTAAACGGTTTCCGCAATCTAGCCCTAATATAGCATGTAGCCCCCTAGAGTCCCTGAACAGGATCCCAAAACCCAGGGGTACAACCCTCGGGGAGCCTCCAGGTGTGCATTGGCGATGCAAAGGCAAAGGCCTTGCCTGAACGTCAAGAACACAGCTTGACAGCGGCTTCGTCACAATTTGGGGATGCAGGAAAGCTTGGCGCAGCAAATAGCCCGAGCTGCCGCTTGCACTCCACAGCGATGCATCCCTTGGAACAAACCTGCAAACGACTCAGGTTGCAGCACATCTGCAGCCTGCCGGAAAAACAGCTGCCTTCTTGTCGTCGAAGGTGAACGGAAGTGTTGCAACCTGCCCCCAAGATGAAATCTGCAGCCCAGCGTGTGTCGCGAGCTGCTGCCACTTCATACTAGATTTCCAGGAATGACACGATTGTCCCATCCTCAGATCCTGCAAGCATCTGCAAGCTATGCCTGGCTGCTTGAGGGGATCCGCTCAAACACCATCAAGGGCAGGTAGGAGTCACCGTGGACACAAGCCAGCACCTGCAAAGTGGACCGGACTCTGGAGCTAGAAAAGGGCCAGCGCTCACATTCACTGGCAAATCTCACTGCGTTGCTAAACCCAGGTTTGCATCTTTTGTCGTGGTGCCCTAGAAAACAAGTTGAGTAGCGATGTGGATTGCCGATTGGGTGTTCAGAGACAGATACAAGATTTCACAGAAACTGTGCGACCTCCAGCTGGTCCTCATCATCTATTGCGCGCAACACCTGCAGGGGGTCATGGGCACGGGAACTTACAAGACACCTTGCCCCAATCCACTAAGTAACCCGTCGGCCAACTCGGCGGCCAAATATCAACCAAAAAATCCCGAAACCATATTCCCAAATCCCCGTTATACCGTTAAGCATAAATCCCCGTTATTCCTCAACCCGTAAATCCCAGCCCAAAATCTCCGTAAAAATATGTTACTAAAATTTATCCTAAAATCTTAGTAAAATATTTCCCATAAAATCCCCGTTATTTCTTAGCCCAATTCCCAACCGTAAAATCCAAATCCCAAATCCCTAATACGCTTTCCCACAAGCCCAAAACCCATGAATAACAATAAGCCGATCTTGGGGCAAGCTCCCTTGAATGAAATTTAATATTATCTTAATATAATATTAAACTACATTTTATGAATTATCTTTATACAGCATTTTGAACTATCATCTCATTTAAGAACTCTGAAGTTTCTTCTAAACATTCACAAGACAAATTGTTGTCTCTTTTTGTATGATACTGTAAATAGTATATTATTTTAATAAAAATATGATGTACTCTTTGATAATAGTCCATATAACCACATAAAGTATCTTTGTAATAATCCTTCTTCTCCCGATGCCATTTATAGAAGTCAAAATTATCAAGGTTCTCATACATTGTTTTCATTTCACTGTGTAATTCAAGTGTATAATCTTTCTTTTGAACATCATCTCGCATTATTTTATGAACTTCATCGTATTCTGGATATTTGCATACTGTAGTAAAAGGACATATGTAATCATCAAATAAATGCCTTAACTTACAACATTTATCACAACAGTAGTAATCTGCAATCTTGTCTTTAAACATATGTAAGACGTCGCATTTATCTAATATGTTTATTTGTTCATTCTTAACTGGTATGCATATAGCACAATTGTTAAAATACTTAAACTTTCGTATCTCACCATAAACCGTATCATCTTCACTCTCACTTTCATATTCGCTTTCATAATCACTCTCACGTTCATACTCGCTCTCACTCATTACTAATATACTAAGGTCTCATCCCTTTAAGCCGTTTTGCGTTACGTTCTTTCGCCATCCAAACCATGATAAATACACGCCGTGATCCAAACCATGATAAATACACGTTTAAAGGTATGTTATGCTACACCGTTAATCATGGGAAGTTCAACATCCGCCCAACAAACAAACACACAACCTTTAATAAAACCTCCTGCTAAAATACAAAAATCCTAAACCTATACATGTTCATCCTAAATTCTCATTAGGTGAATGTATATTTACAATTGATAACCCTGAACTGTATAGAGACGTTGAATGCAAAATAATATTTAAGTATGTTGTAAATGATGAAGTTTGTAAAGATATACGGGGTAAGGTAATAAAAGATATGTTAAATGGAGTTTCGCATTATACCCAATGGTATTTAAGAACATATATACCTATTGAAAACAAAGATAAAAATAACTGGTATGTATTCAAAACCGCTCTCGGTGACGCTCGGCAAGAGCCTCGCGAGCTTCGCGGTGCTCGCCAACTTGAAGAAACAATGGCCATTTACAAATTAAATGACTTTTCTTATCATATCTATTGATGAGTTGCCAAGCCACATCTGCAAGGGGCGCTACGCTGGAGTTACTATTTGAACGGAGCTTGCCCGTCTATCTGACAACACCCATCGCCACCTGCTACTGCGCATGTGACGGCTAATGCCACCAACACTACAATTCAGCTGGGCCAGCATTCCGTGAAAGTTCAAGTTTCCTCCCCTGCATTCAAGTCTAACCGAAGCGGGTATTCGCAAAAGTTGACAATCCGTTGAACCAACACTTTACCGGAAGTACTAACGAACTCTGTTGCATGTTTATTGAGATTGCCCTTTAGCCGTGTCCCTGGTAGCCAGTGTCGGACAGTGCATCCCTACAGATGAACTTTTCGTCACTTGGAAAACAAGGTAGTTTCCCAAAATAGGGGGACCCCAATCTAGACCTCAATATACGATAATCCTTATTATGAGGACCCCCAAAAGGGTACCCCCTAATTATGGGAAACCCTAAGCCCTAAACAGTGGCTTCCATTTTTTCCATTACAGCTATATAACCCCTAAACAGAACCCCTCTAAACCCGGCACGCCCTAAATTAACCCTAAACCCTAAAACCCTAAAACCCTAAACCCTAAACCCTAAAACCCTAAACCGTAAACTATAAAAACCCTAAAACCCTAAACCTTAAACCCTAAGCCCTAAAACCCCACAACAAGTCAGACCTGTAGTACCCTGTCGCGGATGGGCTCCAGCAGCTTCGGGTTGAGCTCCTCTGCAAGGCTCTCTATGTTTACCCACACCTCGCCCTATTTGCCCGCAGCATCTTCATGTTACATGCGCATCCACGATAATAGCGTCCGTATAAATACTTCCACAACTGCAAGATTACGGTTATTTACAGCGAAACAAGATACTGGCGAATGCATGCC